AATTAATGGCAAAAAAAAAAAATCTATGTGATTGCATTTTAATTTATATCTTAATTTGTCTTTTAGCCAACAACTTATATCTAATTAACTAGAAATCAAGATTTACAAAATCAAAATTAAAACTAAAATATCACACATCGTCTTAGGAAGTTAGAAGAATTAAAGTAATTGTAACATTGGGTATACTTAAAATAAAACGTACATGTTCCCTGAGTTTTTAGCAATAAATATTTAACTACATGTTTTTATGTGAATAAAAAAGTCAAAACAACCCACAAAAAATTGCATTTTGTTAAAAAAGTAAAATTTAGAAATACAAATAGCAATAAATGACAAAATAGAGAAAATGCAATCAAAAATTTTGAGTTAGTAGTAAAGCTCTCAACTTTGTCTAACCATGTAATTCCATCCTTAATTATCCTTTATTATATATTTGTTCATTAGATATATGGAAGAAAAAAAAGGAGAATTTGATGATGATTTAATTTTTGTGATAGTGTAGTTTATGAATTCAAGTTATAATAGCACTTGAATATGGATTGATGATCAAAAGTTCAAGGGGAAAGTTGCTCCATTCCAAGAATAGACCATATATAAAAACTTATAGATTAGTTTTTCATTCTACCTTTCCACCAAACCCCTAATTACACGGTAGACATGTTCTATCAGATTCTCCTTCAAAAGCGTTGACCATTGCTTTCTCTAAAAATACGTTAGAAAGACAAATTAGGCCCGTCACAATCCCTTATAAGGCTGAATTTCTTACACATTTAGCTCAAGGGTTTAATTGAAATTGATGTTTTTATAATTAAAAAATGTGTTTAGTAGTTGAACTATAGCTAACTTCAAAACACTAATTATTAAATTATAAATTAGTGATTCTTGCCCTACTATACAAGAGGTTTTACTCTAAAGTTATAATCATTAATTTTGTTCATCTGATATTTTCTAGAGAATTGAGTAATTTGAGCATTTTTTCTTATGAGAAAAATTATGCAAACATCACTTGAACTTTGGAAAAGAGTTGTTTAATCTTGAAATTTAAAAGGATAATACAATGATATTAATTGTAAATTTAAATTAGAAATTTAATAAGGTGAAGTTATAATTCCAAATAAATGATATAATTTAAAAGAGTTTTTGTTATATAAGGTTTAGATTAGATTTAAGTAGGATTTATCTTGTGAAAAAGGTAATCATTTTAACTTGAATTCATTTAGGACAATAATTGTCTGTGCTTTATCTCTTAGTTTTTATATCTTTTTATTATTTTAAAAATATATAAAAT